TTTTTTTTTGTTGTTTTTTAAATTCTGGCTGTTCCCGTTGTAAAAGCCTGCCCCCTGGCCATCTCAGTGGCTCGGCTTTCCACGCTGGAAAGCCCCAGAGTAATACTTACCGAGTTAATTCTCCTATTATGCAGCAGAGTTGGCTAGCCTGTCTTAAAAGGAGCCGAGTTTGTGGGGAGGTGAGTGGCGTTGATTTACATCCTGGTACCCGAAAACATAAAACACCTGATAGTTTTCACACGCGGAATGGTTCCTGCCCCTTGAAGCTTCACGTATCAAGTAGTTGAGATCTTGCTCCTCTGTGAGGGCGCTTCAAACATTTGCTGTTTACGCTGTATATAGTATTCTGTACGCCTGTAGTCTATCATAGCAGATGCTTCTCAATATAAAAACACCTCTGGGTTCCACCTTGAGCATCCAGAAGCGTCAGGTTGGAAGGGTTGAGGTCCTTTACTGCTGGCACAGACCCCTCCAGAGCCCCTGTGTTCAGTTGGGGTACCTCTGGCTTTTGTAGCTATAACCCTCGATGTACTAAAGAACTCTTGTGAAGTGAGCAAAGCCCTTGCAGATACACGTTTTATGAAAGGGGGACTTAAATCCCAGTTTGTCACTAGATAAAAATATTTTGTTTCAGAAAATTTGCTTTAATCTGCAAGTATTTTAACTGTCTTTTGCTGCATAGTACTTATAATTAGTTGAAAAGCTAGTGAGACTTTGTGTGCATACGTATACAAGTAAATATTGCGTTTCACAGTATGTCATAATAAAAGTGGCTGCAATGAACTGTTTGGATTTTTTTACAGTGATGTCTAAAATTTTTTATGTGTCTGAATATTAGTGTGGCTGTAAAACCACTCCTATTTAACTTCACTTGATTTTGCGTTACTGATAGCTGCCTAGGAAAGAAATGATTGTCTAGTTTATTCCACCGCAGATCTTTAGTTCCTTTAGCTACTGTAAAAGACTTCAGTGCCTCACCCAGATTACTTCCATTGTGTAATTCTTAAGGTGTGAGCAGAGTATTTTGGGAGGGAGAGGAAGAACACTGACTTCTTTTGGCCAAAGAAAGAGTTAGGGACTGGAACGGTTATGATCTGATTTCTAACTTTCCCCATGTTAATGGGGAGGGCTCCAACTTCCAGATTAATTTTTAGAGTTTGTATTTGGGTAATAGGTGCTTGTATTATGAGTATAAAAATTAAGTTTTGAACTGGGGAATGTGTTTTCCATGTGAAATCTTTACTGGATATCTTTATCTCAGAAGTTAAAAAGTATTTTAAAGTACAATCTCCTATAGCTTTCTTAAATTTACTGGGGTTTTTTTTCACATATTCGAGTAAGTTACACACTTGGGTATTTGGAGGGGTAGCAAAATTACTTTTCATGTCAAACTGTCTGGAAGTCTGGTGGGTTGCCCTCTGCCCTTCCATAATAGCGCTATTTGCAGTAGGACTATTAAGTGTATTTATAGGGTCTTCTAATTTTTTGGAAACTGTTTGAAACTTTGCACAGTCTGGCTTCAGGTGGAAATAAACTCAGTGAGTCTTATTTCTGTCAGGTTTACCTGTATTAATCTGAGAAACAGGTTTAGTCACCAGTGTTGTGAGTGATTACAGTATAATGACTAAATAAATGATACTGAAATCCATCATTAAATCTTTAAGCTAAAATTCTGATGATTGATTTTTTTTTTCCCCCTTAAAGCTAATGATTCTAACTTAAATTATACTAACTGCTTGTAAAGCCAGAATGGGATGCTTTATTTCTGACTAACTGTTAATATTGCATCAGAAACCTTAAGTCTTACCTGTTTTCATGCACTTGTTATCTTCTAACATCTGTCTAGCTGTTGCATTTAATATAGATGCTGTCTGTGTAGAAGGTGTACACTAGTGTATGATTATGTTTGGAAAGTGTTTTGACATCCCTTTTAGTCATGCCTGCTTTTTCATAATTGCATAAAAATGCTAATATTTCTACTTGAATTGTTATGAAGTGAGTCATTAAAGGGGACATGTTTCAAAAACCTGCAATTGAGCAAAGAAACAATAGCAAACCTTAAAAGTAAAAGCACAGAATCCCTAACTGATGAACAGGGATTTTTGCCTTTTTTGTTGTTGTTGTTTTGTTCAAATAGATTTTTGACCCTCTTGAATTCATGGTAATCCAGTTTAAAGATAATTTTGCTGTCAGTGATGAAAGCATATGCAGAAATAACAGTTGCAGTTCTTCCAACAAATTACAAAAGCAGCACTTCATCACTGTGATGAGTGGAAGTAAGGAGTCATTCTTGCAGTGGAGTCCTGACTGCTCCCAAGAGTTGTTACTGGAATTGCACAACTCTGTTTTAGCACAAAGGTTTAATTTAAAATATTTGTGTGTGTGTGTGCTATTTATACGGCTCAGTACCTGCCTTTTCTTACAAGTCTGTCTCAAATCTGTGTATACCATTGAGGTTACATACACTGCAAACTTTGCATGTGTCCTTGCTGTGGTTACTTATTAGTTTAAGCGATTTTAGGGTAACTTGCTTTCGAATTGTTCTGGGAATGTAACCCTAGTTTAAATGGAGGATAACTGGATAGTAAAAACTTTCAGGGAATAGGAGTGAAACTGTTTAGCCCTGGCAGTTCATGAAGTAATACATTTTAAAAAGTTTGTACATATATATTAGTTAAATGTATCTTATAGACTGTTCTAAGCATGGAGAGCTTTCAGAGAGATGTGAAGAGGGCAAAGATGATCAGGTTGTTTCAGCCTTGAGATGATGCAAGGTGTCAGACTTAAAACCAGCTGATCTTGAGATGGATAATTTGGAATTACTCAGTAATTTGATTTCTGTGGGGGTTTTTTAGCTTGAGCTGTTCTTAAATACATGATTGAAAGGTGGGAATGTTATTGACCTTTTTGAGTTAGAGGGTTCTCAGTCTTTTTCTAGTAAGCAAGGCTTTGAAAGAGTCTTACTGTTTAAAAAAAAAAAAAAAAAGTGTAGCCAGAAAGCTTGAGATGGATCTTAACTTGTGAGTATTGTGTTACTCTGGATATTAGCTGTTAGCACCATTAAAATGCTTCACAATTTGTTGTTTCCTTTGTCTGGAAGATGAGAAGTTCCAAGGCTTCCCTACAGTCTAGAGAGAACTCTGATTTTTACAGACTGGTAGAGAATTATGTGCCCTATTGTCAGCCTACAAGGGTAAAAATTTAGGAGGAATAATTACTGCATTTCTTGTCTAGCTCTATAATGATTTATCAGACTACAGTTGTTTAGTCCTTGCAGTATAACTTCGATTAAGTAACATGAATGTTCTAGGGACACATCTAGATTTTTGCAATAGCTTCAAAAGATGCTGGGTTTTGTAACTTGTGGTATTTTTTCTTGACGGTTTATCCTTGTAAACTAGAGGTAGCATAGTGCTGTTTGCTTGCCTTTTGCTACAGGGCCTCATGTCTGGATCTGTCAGTCCTGCCACCTCCTCTTCCCTCTTCTACCTTCTCTCCCCCAATTCATCCCTACCCTGTACTGTCTCACCCCATCCAGGTTTGTTTTCAGCCAGTTTGGGGCCTGACTGTGAGATGGTGCGGGTGACAGGAGGGAGGACAAAGGGGAAAAAGACCACAGCAGCCTGACTTAAGAAGCTGTAGGATCTCATCCTTAGGATATATGTTTATGTGGTATTAATTCCTGAAAGAAGATAGTCCTGCACCCTTCCGGGTCCTCCTGCTGTCGTGGTTTAAATCTGGCTGGCAGCCAACCACCTCATTGTTGCTTGCTCACCCTCCCCCACCCGGGGGATGGGGGATAGAATTGGAGGGGTGAAAATAAAATAATAACAATAGAAAGTACAAATGGCTAACGCACAATGCAGTTGCTCACCCCCTGTTGATCAATACCCAGCTTGTTCCTGGCTAGCAATACTGAAATAGCAAGATCCTGCAATCGCAGTCCTGGAAGTGAGAAGGAACCTGCCTCCTTGTTGGCCAACCCTCCTTTACAGACAGAACATGATGTTATATGATATTTTTCACTGGTTAGTTTGGGTCTGGTGCTCTAGCTCTGCTCCCTCCCAGTTTCTTATACACCTGCCTGTGGACAGGACATGGTGAGTTGGAGAGTCCTTGATCTCTTAGCAACAATTAAAAACATCAGTGTATTCTCAGCATCTTCTCATACCAAATCCCATACTGAACCCAAAACACAGCACTATTCTAGCTACTAAGAAGAAAAGTTAACCTGCCCACTCCTGTTTGTGCGTTTCCTTCTCCTCTCCCTTGCATCATATCTAACCAGTTGTGTGGTGCCCCAAGGAGTGGGTTGAGTGTGTTGAGTTCATAGAAATGTTTTTTCCCTTTGGAGTGTGTATGACCAGGGCAGCTGACAACTATCAGTAGGTGGGAATGTGGGGCAGGGGGTGGATAGGAGTGATAGTTGTGGCAGCCGGCCATTAGATGTGATTAGATGTTGGAGAATTCAGCTTATGCTTATTTCTGGCTGCTAACCAGAGTCGGTATAATATAGAAGTGTGTTCTATATTGAAAGCATGTTGTCTATACATAGAATGCTCCTTAACTTGTAGCTAAGGAAAGACATGAATATTGCAATACATAAGAGAAATGACATTTTTTCTAGGCAGCAATTTCCTAATTGCATAAGCATTTTAAGCCGTTATGCTTCTCTTAAGTTCTTTGAACTCTGTTCCAAACATAATTCTAATTTTAATAAAAATACTTAGTTTTGACTTTAAACATAAGTTACATTTTAAGGAGAAAATCCATTTGAGCCAAGGAAGCAGCTTTTACTTGGGAGAAAGGATGGGTGAGTGATGTGTGATGTGCATGAATACAAGTCACAGTGGAGTTCTAGGTGAAAGAGCCAACAGACACAGCGTGCATTATGTTGAACTGAGAAA